TGTGGCTGGCTGGCTTGGGGACTTGGGTTCAGTCTGGAGAGATTTCTGTCTTGAGGTGGGAGCTAATAAACGCAACAGAACTGTATTTGCATTGTCTCTTGGAGTTCTTTGGGCTGAACCTGACAGTAATAAAGCTTGCATTAGGGGTATCAACCTATGATGGATTTTGCCTGTCGCGTTCCAATGGATTGTTGTTACTTACAATGAGTTTTTATCTCGGATTCAGCTCTTATTTGGCCCTTACAGCTTATTCTTCTGTTTCCCCTTGTGTCTTCTAGTCCTCTTCCACATGTATGATGCAGACAGCGACGGCAAGATCACCTTGCAGGAATACAGGAATGTAAAGTATCATTTTGGCCTTCTGCTCAACCTGTTGCTCTTTTGGGGATCTGCCGCTGCTTCAATCAGATCTACCTTTGCTTCTTCCAGCCAGGTGGTACAACAGATGCTTTCGGGAAACCCCCACCTGGATAAGGAGTCAGCGAGGTCCATAGCAGATGGAGCCATGATGGAGGCAGCCAGCGTCTGCGTGGGACAAATGGTAGGTTGGGTGTGATCGTAAAGGAGCAGATTCCCCAGCGTTGGTCTCTTTTCTGAAAGAGGAGGAGAAGGGACTGCAGCTTGACCATCAACCAGAGAGGGCTCTTTCCCCAAACAGATGCTCCACATTTAGTTAGTTAATTCATTTATCCAGTTTATTGACATATGTATCCCATTTATTTATCCAACTTGCTGAAGTGACTGTGGGGAGCTAACGTAGAATTAAAATAAACGATAATCAGTGATCTCCAGGATAAAGCCAAACAGACGCTCAAGGCTGTCAAATCCAGGATGCGTCGCCCAAGACAGGGAGGTTGGTCTGCCCTGCCTACACGCCCTGGGGAAAAATTGAGTTTTTAATGACTTCCGAAAGATGAGCAGGGTTGGGGCCAACTGAATGGGGGTTCTGGTGAGCGCATAGCATTGCTCTTCCTTAATTTTGCAGTTGTCTGAAGTTGCCTTCCTATTTCTCAGCCCTTGGAAGGAGGGCAGGCCAGGAAACAGACACCACAAAAATGCTCCAACTCGAGTTTCCTGAGATAAGCTCTTACAGCATCTTGAAAGCCTGACATTTCCTCTTCCAAAGGGAGCCAAGGTGGAGCAACGTTACATTTCTTTCTTGCGTGGTCATGTTTTGCTCATGATCCCTGCGTATCTTCTCCAAGGCCAATCCTGTCCTTGTCTGTGCTGTTTCTCTTTCAAATGGTTTGAAGTTCATGCTGATGGTGTGAGCCACACCGTCACTATGGATGTAGCTTCTGTAGGATAAAAATCTTCACAGGAATGGGTTGGCACGGCTACACAAAGGATGTTGGTGCAAGCAACGTATTCCTGGCTTGAAGGGTAGGAGCAGCACCCACGCCCTTGGGAAGGCTCCGCTGATGTGTTGAGGGCTTTCCCAGAGACATGTGCATCCACGCTGGCTGACCACGGCACTATCAAGGGGGTTAGCTGCACACAGGCCCGTCGCAACCCAGGCCAACCTTAGAAGCAGCCGCACGGAGCGTTCCGGAAGATGCAGCTTCTCCGAGTCATATTAGAAATCCGGGTGATGAGAAATGACCAAGCACTTTGCCTACTTGGGATGAAGGTGGCTGCTGGTGTCTTCTGCGCTTTCTGGGGTGAAATCATCTTGAGCCTCACCTTGACCTTTTTCATACGCTAACCCTTATCAAGAACATGATAGCAGAAGAATAGCGATCATGCTGAACATAGATTTCCAGATGCTGTTGGACCAGTCTTCAGCATCCCTTACTCCGGCCTGAGGCTGCTGGGAGTTGGAGTTTAGCAACATCTGGAGAGCTACAGGTTTCCTACCTCTGCTACTAGATCGATCTATCGATCTATCGATCTATCTTTTTCTTTCTTTCTCTTTCTTTCTTCTATCACCTATCAATCTATCATCTATCTTTCTTCTATCACCTATCAATCTAACCTACCTACCTACCTACCTACCAATCTGTCTCTATCTATCTATCTATCTATCTATCTATCTATCTATCTATCTATCTATCTATCTATCTATTCTTTCTTTCTTTCTCTTTCTTTTCTTTCTTCTATCACCTATCAATCTATCATCTATCTATCTATCAATCATCTATCTATCAATCAATCAATCTTTCATCTATCTTTCATCTACCTACCTACCTACCTACCTACCTACCTATCTAATTCTATCTGCAATCTCTCTTGGTTTTTTTCACTTGTAATCCCTGGGGTGGGGTGGGGTGGGGGTAATTACATGTGTCATAAATAGGAAAGTGCTTTTCTGCTTTTTGTAGCATAGCTACCGCTAAGGCAGAGATGAGTGGGATACAGCCATCATACACCAGCTCTATTAAAAATATTAGTTGCGGTGTGGCATCTCACTCTGTGAATGATTTAAGACATGCAGTCGTTACCGAGCGTGTTAAGTTTTCTTTTCCCCTCCTCACCCCTTTTTCCTCATGTCATGTCATCTTGACTATAAATTTATAGGCAGAATTGTTTAAAAAGACCTTTGTGGAAACATTAGCAGCTTTATTAACCAGAGGTAACAACACAATCCTTCATGCAACATGTGTAAAAAAAGGGCAGGCTTTGATTGGATGGTCACTACTGCCATCTTGACTTTTTTGACCCCCCAAGATGCCCCTGGAGGCTTGTGTAAAAAAAAAAAAGACTTCTGCTTCCAAGCTACAGCCTTTTTTATCCCTTTCTCTAATTAACATATAGATACAGAAAACAAAGAAAAAGAAAACACCAAATTATAAAAGGGGAGGGAAAAAAGGCTAAAAAAAGAAATGAAAACATGCAGGATATATATACAATAAGTCTTTTGCTATAAGAGTATTTCCATTGTCCAGATGTCAGTTCCCATGTGCTAGAGATAAATTTCAAAAGAATACAAGTATCCATCTGAAAATATTAAATCTTAAAGTTAACGCATGTAATTCCTTCTGTCCCAAATGGAACAATCTATTTAAATAAAGCATTAATTTCACTGCAGTTCCAACAGCATGAAGGCAGTGAGGTCATTTCTTGTTGAAATAGACGTAATCTAAAAAAATCTATTGACATTTTGGGTTTTTATATATCTATATCTTCTTTTTTATTAGTTAAGTAAAAGATGCAAACAAAAAAATGAACTTTTGTATTGTTGCAATTGCTTTTACTTTAATTTTACTTTGCCACCCAGAGTCACTTGTTGAGATGGGGGGGGGGCATACAAATTGAATGAATAAATAGCAAAGAAAAAGATACATATATGTACTTAAAGGATTTTGAAAAAAGAAAGAAAAAGCAAAGAAAAAGCAAAAAGATTTAAAAACCATTACAAAAAGGGCATTCTGGTGGACCCCTCTCTTTCTTTCTATTCCCTCCCCTTTTTTCCCCCAACCACGGATTGCTAGTTGAATATTTCTATACTTTACTTTAGACATTTCTTCTTGGATCATTTTATTATTGTTTTTAGACGTTTCTTTTTCATCAAAAACCATATTCTAAGTGTCTTAGCAAGCTGTGCTGTGTGATACATTTGCACGTAAGGGAACCAGTCCTGCATGAATTTGGTTAGACTTCTGCTGTGAATATATATCATCAGTGTTTCCACGGCTGTATATTCTTCAATTTTAGTCTCCGAATCCTATATGGGTGGCAAGGTTTTTCTTCTATGCCTTTTTCTTTTTCTAATTAACTAAATGCAAAAAACAAAGAAAACACCAAATTATGAGTTGTGCCAGTTTGATTCTTGCCACTGTCAGCTTATATTTTAATAAATGATGGTGCTTTTCATTTACATTCCCTGGCATCAGACCTCATAACGATATTCCTGGTTTTAATTCAAATGTTACCTTCGGAATTTCCTAAAGGTTTGGGTGCATTTCCATTTCTACCTTTTCTGATGGTTTCCTTTTTTTTCCCTGTAACCCTTTCAGGTCCTGAAATAAATCTCTCTTCCCTCCTGATTTTAGGAGCCAGATCAAGTCTACGAAGGGATCACGTTTGATGACTTCCTGAAGGTGAGAAGTTTTCTCTGCATTTCCAGTGGTTTGGAAAGACGGGGCTTTGCAGCTGCAGCTGCACTCAGTTCTGCCAAGCAAACCCTCTGCAATTTTTGCACACAATTCCAAACCCACAGAAATCATTTCCATTCAGGGTTTTCAACACACGGTCCCCCCAAATAATCAGTGTAGGAAGGGGTGGTGGACTAGGGCTGGATGTTCATTGAGCATCAGTCGCATTTCTCCCCCCCCCCCCAACTTTTGCTGTCTTGCAAAAACTGCTGTAGGGACAGTCTTAGGCTAGAGTAGAAAGTGCAGTCGAGCCAATCGTTCCTGTGTTGGATGAGGACTGCAAGTCATTTTTGTTCCAAGAAAGAATCTCAAACTGCCAATTGGGCCCTTGGGAAGGAATTGTCTTAATTTTCTCTTCTCTCCAAGCATTCTCCTGTTGGTAATACTCTCAGACCCCAAATCCCTAACCCAGAATTAGCTAAGCTCAGCTGGTCTAGAAAGCATTGGCTAGACCTGACTTTGACCTGGTTTGGGAAGTGGATGGGTGGCAGATGGTGGTCAAATAAAATGACATTTTTAAAAAGGCCAGCATCTGGACCGAATTACTTCAGGCTGCAGAAGGATGGTGAGGTTCTCAGCATCCTCTCATCTTAAGCCAGTCTTTCTCAACCGTGGCAACTTGAAGATGTGTGGACTTCAACTCCCAGCCAGCAGGGGAATTCTGGGAGTTGACATCCACACAACTTCAAGTTGTCAAGGTTAAGAACTTGTTTAAATTGGAAAAAAGAAAGTCACACTTACAAAAAGTCTCAGATGGGGGCTGCAGGGTGGGGCAGTAGAGCTTCAGCAGAGAATTGAGAGGGGTAACACCAGGACCACGGATGGTGCACCATGTCTTGGAGAGAATAGGCTGTTTAAGCAAGGGCTGTAGCCAATTTTGAGCTTTTAAGTTTGCTCAAGGATAGGTAACACCCCTATCCACCCACCCAAGCGAGACACTAAGACAACTGCAGGAAATTAAAGGCTCTCCTGGACTGACCTTACTCCTGTTCTTGGCTTGCTCCAGTCCATTTCTAACTTATAAGGGTGTGCAGAGAGGATCTGGTTTAATTTGGATCACCAATTTCTTCCAGTACCATTTGGGGAAGGCGGGGAAGGCCAAGTAATTTGATGCTTTGGTTCAAAGTGTCAACCTGGGTCAATTCAATTTTCTGAATTGATCTGGGGAGAAAAAAGTATTTCCACATGGTCAGATTGATTCATTCAGTTTGAAGCTTCAGCTTCCCGATTCGATTCGGGCAGCACGTCCATTTGGAGGTTCAGTCAAATCGGCTCTGAATCTCACACAGCCGTTAGGTTGCAATTTGCAAGTAATCTGGAAGATACATCAGGTTATGGAATATTGGGTATCCCTCTTTTGTCCTCACCTCATTTGAGGTGGGTTAGGCTGAGGTGGGAGCCAGTTTTGTCTAGAAGGCAAGGAATTAGAAGATGGGAGACCTGGAGTTCTAATCCTGCCTTAGGCATGGAGGCCAACTGGGTGACTGGCCTAGTCTCTCTCTCAGCCCTAAGAAGAAGGTAAGGGCAAATCACTTCCAAGAATGTTGCCTAGAAAACAACATGGAGAAGTCCTTATCAGCAGGATTAACGCTTGACAAAGAGGAGGAAAAAACCCCCCGCTGAAAAATTGTGATTTGTCCCAAGCACACCCATGGAGCTTCTTGGCTGAGCAAACTTCTAAGCAGGATAATGGATGCTATGCTTCATTTTGGGATTGAGAAGGAACCTCCTGTAATGGTCACACTTAGGGCATTTCAGATCCTGCCTTCCCCAATCTCAAGGTCTTTCCCTGGTCTTATCCCCCTAGCTCCCTCACCCTTCCCTGGTCTTGGGGCTTCAACTCTCACCATCCTTCTCAAGCACATGAGCCAGAATGGAAGATGGGAATCCCAACCATCTTCAGTAGGGTGGCCTCTGCAGTGGGAGACGGAAGCCTGGCGCCAGTTTGCTTGAGTGAACTCTTTTAGCTTTCCATATATTGGAGAAGGGTGCTGTGAACTTTACAAGAGGGGGCAGGGTTAGGCAAACTGGCCAAGGGAACATGGAGAAGAGGCCCCCTTCAGGGAGATGGGCAAAGGGTCCACAGCAGCAGAACTTGGCCACCTGAAGGGTGGTCAAACAGGCCCAGGCAAAGGTGGGGAAGTAGGTGTACGATCTTTGGAACGAAGCTCTCTTCCACCAGCTACCTTCTGGAAAAAATCTAGGGCCAACTGAACTGTAAGTTGAGTTCTGGAACGCCTGTCTATCTACCTGGTCTGTTTTCCAGCCATGAGTTTGCGACTTTATGAAGTATGACTTAAGACTGTAGGATCAGAGAGACCATTTTTCTCCTCTAACTCTTGCTTTTCCCCCTTTCAATGGCAGATATGGGAAGGGATCGACATAGAGACGAAGATGCACGTCCGCTTCCTCACGCTGGAACCCATGGCGTTTTGCTACTGACCGCGCAGAAGCTGGAGACGGGGGAGGCTTCGGAGGACACGGCAGGGAGCTTGGGTGGGCGGGCAACGGGGCTCTTGGAGCAGCTGCCACGGATCAACACATCCAGACCAGCCACGTGGATTCTCCTCGGAGTTACAGACAAACGCTCCGTTCCCCAGTAAAAGGACCTCAGTTTTGACTGAACGTTGTGCTTAGTGTATTTGTGTTGTTTTATGGATGTTTTTCTCCTAGCTTCCTGGGATGAGTTTAGAAGCCCACCGGGGGCTTTAGCAACACCCGAAGGCCCTGCTCCCCCAAACACCAACAGGACCCTCCGAGTTAGAAGGGGGGCCTCACTGGCCACGGTAAGTTTTGGGGCGAATGAGTATATATATTACTAGGTTTTATACAGTAGTATATATAGGCATTCTCCTATATGCATATTAGCATTATTAGTACAGATAGTTCTATTTATATACTAAAATATGCTAATATGTATATATGTACACAGAAGGGCATAACTTGGGTATGACTGGAGTACACTAAATATGCTAACAAGTCTGTGTACACGTATATACGCCCCACTAATATATGGCAATTTTTTCAACCACATGCTAATGTGTACATACTGTATTACTGTTCTGTAAATATGTGCATATTAGCATGTGATTAATATATTAGCATACATTAGAGTGCATGTGCATGACCTACATGTACTCTAATATATGCTATATCTATGGTAATGTATTTCAAACACGTGTCAAAGCATATTGGCACGAATTAGTATACTAATATGTGCTACTCTATTATAATATATGCAAATATATTTTGAATATATTTTTAAAAATCGGCACATATGAAGTATGCTAGTTTATACCAACAGCATATATTAGATCTCTAATATATGCTAATATATATTGAGATATTCAAACGTAGTTTGAATATATTAATACCTAGTGGCATATATCAGAGAATCCAATATATGCCAATAGGCTTTGGCATGTGTTTGAATATATTACCACAGATTAGCATATATTAAAGTGCATGTAAGTCATGTCTCTGCATGCTAATATAGGCATATTTATTTATATGTTAGTTGAACATGTTAGGGCAGGGGGCTGTACCGTTCTGCACACAGACCTATTTCAAGTACAATCTCCAACGATTAATATCCACACACACAGGGTGTTTTTTTTTTTTCTCCCCCAGCCCAGGTTGCCAAGTTTGAAAAACACTGCTCTAGGGTTACCAGGTCTGGGCTGCAATAACATGGCAGGCCACTAGGGGGCACCACACATAAAGCTTTGCTGCCCTCTAGTGGTTCACTCTCTGGTTTTTTGCAGCCCAGAGCTGGTAACATATTATCATATATTAGGGTATGTGCCTATTCCTGTGTGTGTCTGTGTATATTCACACAGACGCATACAGTCATGTAGGGTAAGATCTCTTAGGGCCTGCCTAACAGAGCTTAGCCTATATTACTCTATGTGCTCTAGGCAGGCCCTAAGAGATCTTAGCCTACATGACGGTATGTGTCTGTGTGAATATACACAGACACACAGGAATAGGCACATACCCTAATATATGATAATACGTACGTAACTACATATTGCCATATATTAAGGTGTATACCATGCCAAGGTTATGAGCTCTGGGCTGCAAAAAAAAAAAAAAAACCAGAGAGTGAACCACTAGAGGGCAGCAAAGCTTTATGTGTGGCGCCCCCTAGTGGCCTGCCGTGTTTTTGCAGCCCAGAGCTGGTAACATATTATCATATATTAGGGTATGTGCCTATTCCTGTGTGTCTGTGTATATTCACACAGACACATACCGTCATGTAGGCTAAGATCTCTTAGGGCCTGCCTAGAGCACATAGAGTAATATAGGCTAAGCTCTGGTAGGCTGGCCCCAAGGGGTCTTACCCTATCTGAG